TTTAAAATATTGTACAGCATAATATATATTTTATAGTTTTGTAGACACGCTTATAACATAAGTGTGAGTACACAATATGCGACCGCGGTATAGACATTGCCATAACATATTATATTATATGTCAATAATATGTTTATAACATTAGCATTGTTGTTGGTTAACTTTAATCAAAATAATATTTATTGATAAATTACATTTATTCACTTGTTAAAAATTTGAATGAAAATTTATTTTCCCAATAAAACGAGATATATTAATCAAAATTTTTTTACTGAAAATATTGACTCGTGTAGTCATGCGTACAACTTTCATTAATTACGTGTTTTGTCAGCTTAAAAATTAATAACCACCAGTAACCATCGTTGTATACGTGTCGTTTATTATGATGTACAATATTAATAATGAGTTAGATATCTGTAATTTAGAGCTCATATTATCATGTGTTACCTATGTCAGGTCTCGACAATTATTATAATGTTGCCGGTATTCTGTATTATTTTTAATGGCTCATTTAAGGGCCGCTGATGTGACATTAGTCGTAAAATCAAGTTGGAATGGATTAAAAAAATCATTACTCCGATTTTGGAAGGGTTGCTTGTATAAGATTGCTTTGTTGGGATTCGTACGTACGTTTACAATATTTTTGTTTTTTTTTTTTCGTTGGTAAATACCGATTTTGAAAAAAAATATAGTAACTTCTTATCGTCAACAATGACGTCATCAGTAATCAGTTGTTAGCTCTTGTGATTTCATTCTACCGGGTATGTGTGATTATGTGTGAGAGTGTGTATAGTGCATACTGCATAGACATATTATACTAACTATACTATAGACTATAGGCAACGAATGGTGTTTTTTGCGTAAGGAAAATAAGTCGCGTTAAAATAATATCTTCAGACACGGCGACGAGAGAGTTATCATTTTTCTTACAGTTGTGTGTATATTCTATTTTTTCGCAATATTATAAAACACATATTGCCCTATGGGCTATGGACTTTATACAACTGTTTGTGGTGTTATCGTTATTTTCTCGTTCACATTAATAATATTATTGAACGTCTTTATTATCCGTTAGACTTAATATGATCGAGAAATTGTGTTTCATAAAAAACCATACATAATCTTATAAATATTTTATATCTTATTGATAACACAAAATTAGTCAGTGAACAATATACTAATAATTGCAATGATACCAGTTTTCTTTACCAATTCATCATTAACATAAATCAATCAAATAAAATGGTTCGTTCTATTTTATGTACATTTGGATTTTGATATTGAGACATTGCCGATAACGTTCGGATGACAAATAGAGACACAAAATACGATATTTACAGGATATGATGGTTACACTTAAGGGGATGCCTATTGTCAAAGGATCGCTGTATTTACTGGATTAATTTTATCTGTTTTTTTTGTGATGTTTGTTATTTGAATTGTATGTAATTTACTTCGGCCATTTACATTTTAATGTGATCTCATAAATCTTCGAAATTAATAGATATAAAACAACAGAGCTATTCTCGTTACTTCCAGATAACGACAAAAATAAACTCTTGTCCGATTATAATAGTATGTTGTATTATTTCTTATCTAATTCTGCATTTATAAAACTACTATATAGAAGTATCGTCATATTTGATTGAGATTTCTTAACATTTCATTGTACTTATTGTACCTATATTGTAATGATAATTATCATACTTTGATCGTTATTAGAATYCTATTAAACATACTGATTTTTGGTCACGTGACGTCATTTTTTCAATAATGACTAATTATATTATTATTGATCTCAACGAAAATCGTATTATGAGAATTTTGATACCTATTGCTGTGTAACATATTTTTGTTTCAATACTATTATATAAAATATAAATCCAAGAGTAAAAAAATAGTTTAAAAAATATAAATACGAGGTTTATACATACTATCATAAATTATAAATATTAAAGATATGAATTTCTTTACTATGTATGTATAATATTGTGAGTAAATATTTAAAATATCTTTTATTTGGTTCTCTCGCTCTTGAAACACTTAAAGCATCGATAATGTCTGGAGGATACCGATATTTTGTCGTCGATAACAAGTATTGAAGATTTATGAATTATATCAATGAAAATAACAGACACAATGCGTTGTCTGTATAATATGGTATTTAAAAATGTAACGGTTAGTTTCTATATAAACATCCATTCAAAAATAATATTTTTGTTAAGATCACATTTTTTGAAGAATAAATCTTTATTTATACGTGATAGAACCATAAATATATTATCTTCAAAGTCGTTGTTGCTACATAACAGACTTATTTCAAGACAAATGATTTACTACCGTATTAGTACCTAAATAAGAAATAGGTAATAGTTTTTTTAGTAAATAAATTACATTAATTTTTTTACAATCATTTTTAAATGTAAATTAATTAAAGCAGTACAGTTTCTTACACGCAAAATGTTTTCATTATTTTGTATCTGTTTAAAATTGGCTAAAAATCAAATATGTGGAATTTTAAAGTAAATCTATTGAATAACTAGTTCAAAATAATTATTGTGTGATACAGAATTATCTATTTATTCGCATGTAAATAATATTTACTAAATATTTTAATCCATGTTTCCTGAATTTTTTTGAGAACACTAAATGATACTAATATAATGTCATTAGTCATTAAAAACTTTTTTCCTACCTAGTTTTGAATATTATCAAATATTTTGACTGTTGAATATTTTCTACTGTTATCATAATATTATTACTTAAAAATTAAAATATTACGTTACATTTCAGTGATTATTGTTTTTTTTTAATCGTTTTCTTAAATTCTATTAGAACAAACTTCTTTTACATCTATTGACCGTAGTTATCAGAATAATCTTTGTCTATATCGAGTATAAGTGGTATATAATCTAGTACTACGTGTGGTGTGTTTTATATGAAATATTATTGTCAATGTTATTACTACTAGTTTTTTATGAAAATAAATATATTAAAATTATAATTTCTCTTTGAACATTTTTCGTATAATAGGACATTTTTAAGGTTGATAATATTATGTCCCCTCTTATTTTCAAAGCATTTAATGGTATTTAAAATTATTATTTTGTTTGATTTAATTTTTTGCAAAATAAAACTGTTAATAAATTATAAAATGTATAACTAATATTATTTCTTCTTTATCTCATACACGTAATACTACAACGAAAAACACGGATAGAACAATAATATAAGTGAAGGTTTCAAGTTTCAATATTAAATTAAAAAATGTATTAGAACTCAGTATCAAATATTTTGACATCCATTGAAGTTATCTAGAGATAACATTTATTAGCAATATATTAAACTATTAAAATAGGTATCCAACGTGTAGTTAGGTCTAAAAAATACTTCTGGTAGGTGTTTGGGATAATACAAAAATTACAAATCAAAGACTTTTTACAAAGTGTAATCATTTTATGCAGCTTATTAGGATTTTCAATTTAATTTAATTAATATATTTTTTTAAATTTAATGTTCTTTCCATTTTTCATTACGTTGTTATCAATTACATTTAATTTACGAATGTATTTAGCTATTAATTATAATCTATATATTTTTCAAGTAAATTTTTAATTAATATATTATAACTTATTATTTATTTTATTTTTAAAATAATTAAAGAAATATAATCAGTATATGTATGTACATAGGTAGGTGTATTTTCGTAATATTTGAAATTGTTTTGGTTTTATTTTACTTTATATTTACTTTAAAAAAAAAAAAGTAATAATAATAACTTTACAATCAAATATATTTTATTTTAAATACGAAACGGGAAAATGTCTTCTTCGAAAACATACCTAGGAAAATTGTATAACTTATTGTAGAAAAATTGTAAAATATTGTAAAATTGTATAACTTATTGTGCCGATATGATGTAAAATGTATGTGCAGTGGTGAGTGATGACGGCAGTGGTGGTTAAAAAAATCATTTTCACATTTGTACACGTGATGTACCTTTTGGCTTTTACGCATTTGGCATAGTAAAACTTTTTAAAAAGAGGCTCAATTATAAATAAAAAATGTTCTCAACCCGCACTTTGCTCTTTATTATACTCCATACCTGTACGTAAACTATAGGAGAGTAACGATCTAAAAAAAGGTATACCTAACTCTCATATACCGGCTGCTCGTTGTCGTTATCAGCAACAGGTTGTGTGTGCAGCCGTTAATCGCTTTACTTACAACTATATATTATATTATTATTATAATTTATGTGCTCAAACGTGCAAACACAAAAAAAAACCAACTCATCGAAATGAACGAACGAACGCCGCCGCCGTAGTCATGCGTTATTGTTTTAAATATAACATTATATTATATTACATATTTTACGGAATTACTAGAATATTATTGGTACCTATATAGATACCCATATATTTCTTAGGTGTATTATGCAATACTGTTTACTAATTATTATATTATGCGTTGAACAGGATGGTACGTTTAATACAATTTAATAATATTACAGTAATAATTATTTTGCGATTATATTTTGTCGAACGCATAATAGTAGTAATAATAATATGGATAATTTCGATTGCATTCACATGCACACTCGTAACAAATTAAAATTATTGTGAAAATCATTATTAATGCCGTTAAAAAAATACAACCGTACTTGTGATTAGACATCATCATTAGCGCACCTGCAGACTGGCTTGACGACCCACTTCGATTTGCATAATATATATATTTAATTTCCGTTTAATTCAATTACGAACCACGCGTATACCTATTATGTTTATACCTATAATGATATTATACATATGTGTCGGATTGTATATTTATCGTTCATAATAATATCATCATAATAGAATATATTATAGGTACTACCGTTGTCGATTGTCTTTTTAAATAATATCATCGTAATTAATTTGATATTACACATAATATGTTATTATTGACTATTGCTGTTCTCACAAAGTGGTTGTTTCCTTGACCCCCCGACTATTCAGATCTAGAAATAACTCATGAAATCGATTCTCAGTTCTACGTAGCCGAGGTCAAGGATATGGTAAACATTGTCCAAAGACTCATAGCTGATGGTAAGTTCTCGGGTATTAAAAATTCTAAGTTTCTTAATTTTATTTTTTTTTGTGCCATCAGAGTGCGCCCGCGTGCGTATTAGGTTAAAATGAAAAAGAAAAGAAATTAATAAACAATTATTATTGTTTTCCGAGTATTGTATGTGTGTGTGTGTGTGTGTGTGTCACAACGCCATACGAATCGTCGATCTATTTCTTCGCTGGGGCTGGGTGTGAAAGGAGGGTTCCCCGTAACCCATAAACAAGCTGTGCTGGCAGTTTTCTAGCTCTTTCCCCGCTCCGTGTCCTAGCATATTTTAACCAAAATTTAATGAAGTCATCAAATTTTAACCGTGTCTCTCACACAGCGAGTGTAATCCAATATTGTTTTGTCGTTGTGTAATTTGTTYGACACGTCTTTCAATAACGTGTATGACTGAAAAAATTTCTTTCCAACCCCCCACCCTCTTGACTGCCAATCCATAACCCGTTCAGCTAACAGGAAGTGCACTGCTCAGCGAATTTCAGTAAACAATATTCACTCATCGCATTAATTATCACTATTATAATATGCGTGTGTTTCGMAATCGTTTTTGCCGTATAGCCGGTGATGTTATAGTAGTGTGGGATATCATCACTGGTTATTGTAGTTCGTAAGTTGAATATTTTAAGAAAACAATTATTTACATGTTTCAGGCCACACGTTCAATTCGCCGGAAATCGTTCAGCTAAAACTAGAACCGGGTATTTGGTGAGTTATACATTATTTATTATTATTATTATTGCTTACCTATAATAGGTATCTTTGTAATTTATTCATATTTAGTATCCGTAATGTTATAAGTTGTAATGCATTTACATGTTTCGATCCCTAATTAAAAAAAAAAAAACACCTATTAAATAAAACGGTTATTGGTTTGGGTTAACGATTGAGTTATTTTTTTTTTAGAAGCTATTGTTGTGACATAACAGAACGATATCGTTATTATCGGGTGTTGTAATACGATCAATTTATTATAATATGAGTATATGACTCATGAAAATAGATTTAAATAGTCCATTTTGATAGGTATGTATTATTTATACGTAATAAGAGCCCAGAGGTCATTTCGTTCATTATTTATTTTTAATAACTACTGCATTCAGTGTTGTAACTAGTATTTTTGGACCTTATAGAGTATAACTGTGATTACAATAATTCTCGTATCAAGATAGTAAACTTTATTGTGCTCTTAAATATCTTTTTGATTTGTGCAGACCAAATATGTATCAGAGTGTCCTCTGCCCCCCTCTCAATCATCGACTTTCCGAGTATTATCTGGGCTCAAAAACTAAATCTCAGTATTATAGCACTATTTTGTTATAGAGAACTACTATACCTGCAATAACAAACACGACCAAATTTTCATTTATTGCGATTAAAAATTAAAGCTTTGTTAAAACAAAATTAGGTGTTTCTAACTGGCGAAAGCTGTTTCCTATTTTTGATATAAATCTCATCGTTAGGATAACTATTTTCTCATCATTTATATGGTTAGAAGTTTTTAAAACCTATACTGCAGCAATTTGAAATGTTCGATTTTACCTCATATATAATAGTGACCTGTATTTGTTATTTATTATTTATATTTTTGACGGTATGAGTTCGTTACGTGATCATTCCTTGTAGATTTTTACACTTTTAGTTGTATAATCGTTATTTATTTATTTTTTTTTTTTAATTTGTGTGTATGTAACGTACGTAAAGGTTATATGAATTATGAACTGTTGGAAAAAAAAATTATTAATAAAATTTTGATTAACGCCGTTCGCCGTTAACTGCAGACAAATAAATCGATCGTATATATTCGGCTCAACTGATTAATCAAATAAATATCATATTCGTAAAACCATTTTTTACCGCCGTTACACATCATAAATATTGATTGATATAATAAAATAATAATAATATTGTAATTTATAGGTACTCGATATTAAACGACGTTTTTAAACACATGTTTAAATGTCGGGTGGATATCGACACCCTTTCTCGGGCACAATGTATGTGTTTTTTTTTATATCCTTGTAAGCTCGTTATATCGAAAACGGCACAAATATCATAAATCATGATAATAAATATATATAAGATCTCCTTTTAAATGGGTTTAAAAAAAAACATATTTCGATGTACATGCTTGTCTGCCGATATATATTGCGCTGTCTCTGTGTCGTCGGATCGTAATCCTGAGGTTATCGGCGTTCCGTTTCGTTCACGATAAGCCACAATCGCCCATTATATTATAAATATATTTTTTAGATAATTACATAAAATTATAATACGGAAGGAGAGAAAAGGGATCATGAGAAAAAATATGTATATGTGTAACTTTTAATTTTTAATTAAATATAATGCATGTGAGAAATCGTTTTCTCATTTTTGCGCCCTTTCCCAGCATTTTTTAACCGTACCTTGTGTAGGTACTAGGTAGTGATATCAAACATCAATGACGTTGTATTGTGATAAATATATTATTCATAATTAAACTCAAACTCGTAGTAATTGATATTGCGAGAAAAAAAAACTTGCACCCATTATTCTTGAGGCGTTTGTTGTTTTTTTGCTTTTTACTAATTTACAACTCTCTATTGGCACCTACTGTCGTTGTAAATACTAAGCGCACGTATACCTACGTGACGTTGACATCAGTCACCTGTTGTACTGCTATATATTTCGTTATCCTTTGGCAATAATTAATAATATAATAAGTCTACTACTTACTCATCGTATATATAAACAACATAATATTTCCCTATGCATACAATATAAGGGCGTAGAACAATTAAATATTAATTTTAAAAGATAAAGTCATTTGCCCAAATTGTATATTATTGTACTACTGCATGACGGCATTCTACTTAAACGTATTATTTCTGGGACGTTTCCGACAAATGACAATATTTCATATTTTCATATTATATATTATGTGCGTGCATTGTACAACAATAAACAGGTCTCATTACGAACATACCTGCTGCGCAAACACAAGCGTGAATAGGTAGTACGACTATAAAAAAATAAACCGTATTTTTCGATGAGGGAACAGTTATATTATACGATTAAGTATCGTCTGTTTTTACTACCACACGTAGGTCGTAGGTAATAATATGTATATAATATTTCTAAACATTTAATTTATTTTTATTTTATGGTCATTATGGTGTGATGTTTAAAGTTTAAACATAACATTCTCAAATGTGTGTGTTTTATTGGATATATTCGTTTTACTTCTTCTTAAAATAAATAATAATTGTTATATATTATTGTAATTTATTTTAAATATTAGTTTAATAATATCATATAAATATCCAATTGCCAATCTATATGGGATTTTGTAAGTAAATCATTAAATTATTATTATTCACATTATATTGATTTGACACCGAGGTTATCGGTTTTTTAAGTGCGGTACGGATGTTTCACATTTAACTTTTTGTTGGATAGTGGGATAAGATAAATCAATCTATTTTAAAACGGTTCTAAATCTTAACACATGTAAAGAAACTGAATTTTAATATTTTATTCGTAAAAATACATGACCTTACGGGAACGGAAGAACGGTTTTTTCGATTACGTACTAACTATTTAAAGTAGTTCTTTTCCCAAGTGTAGCAATACAATATTGTTTAACGTATTTTCTAAAAATTCAAATCCTAAGACAAAAGTGAAGCTGTATAATCTCAAATTCAAAATAACATATACAAAATTGTAGAGGCCAAAGATGTTATTATAAAATAAAAATTATTATTTATTGTAATTACATATTTCATTTATTAATTTATTATAATTGACTTTTTTATGATAACAATTACTTTGATTTGAAATACGTCCCATATATTCTGGTTTTAATGTGTTTTAATATCTGACAGGTTTTCAATTTGATAACGTCAATTATTTACAATATAAAATTATCTTTATGTGTCGGAAGAACGAACAACGAACATAAATCTTTGATGATATTTAACTATTTAAGACATTAATCGATAACTTTTAAATGTACCTAAGAATAAGTATTTGAACGGCTAAACTCGAGTTTTTCTTATAAAGTTATTTAATTACTATTGATAATTTCAAAATTAAGTATCTCTGTAGTCTGTAGTTGATTGAGACATTTCCAAAATACTTTGAAAGATATATTTTATTATTTCGTATATACTTARCGTTCTACTTTCAACATAAAATGTAGAATTAAAACGATAGTTTAATTTGTATATAATTATTAATTACTGTTATTTGAACGTTTCGTAAAAAGATAATGACGCGATTTTGAGTAAATACTCAATAATATATTAATGTGTGTTACGATTTCTTGCTTTCATGAAGTTATCGTTTTGATGATTGAACACTGTGCTAAGTGCTTATTATTATTCCACGAACTGGACTATATTGGACGAACAAAGATAATTTTTTTAAATGTTTATGTAATATAATTTATTTATGTTGTATAAATATAGGCAATCTAAGAATATAGTGTGATGTGTTATTAAATCGACTTTWACGTGAAAGAGAACACTATAGCACTGCGTTTTCGACGCAAGACGTGCCTATATAATATTTTTTCGAATCTCCGTTTTTTTTTTTAAGTTTTCAAAAACACTTACTTGCATGCGTAATAATACAATATTTTATGACAATTTATATAAATGCAGTTCTCAAAGATCAAAGTTATTTCCTTGACATTATTATTTTATTATTTTCTCTAGTAGATAAGTTATGCGCATAAACGGCGTTTACGCCGAGCTGTGTGCACCTATTTATCATAAACATAATATTATAATAATAATAATTATTATTTACTTATAATATAACGTGAAACTATCGTTGTCCCCGATAAGTGTGTGCGTGCTCGCATTCAGCAGCCTTCAGTAGCGCCACGGCGGCAGCGCGCGCGCGCGATCACACTTAGACGCACAGCGTAATTTTTACAATTTATTTCACACAACGCGTTGTACATATTTTTTGGTTTTTGGTTCATTTTTCCTCGCCCGACTAATTATAATAAAAACATACACACTACAATATCACTATATAAGTAAAAAATTAATTCCTCAACGTGCGCGTGTGTCACACTAACTCTTCGCACACTAACGCGAACGAGTGTACACGAGGCGAAAACAATATATATACATATTATATTATATACCTCCTATACACACGACGCACTCGCTCACACACTCTTGACTTATGGCGTTGACACGGGCGCAGACGATAAAAAAAATAAAAAAAATACCTTGTGCTCTCGGTAGGTCTGTCTATCTGTCTTTCTCGCTCTGTCTTTACCCCCTCCCCCGCACTATTGTTCTATTTCATTTTTCACTTCTGCTCGAACGAGCACTCGAGTTATGGTCTCCCTGAAAAAAAAACGCATACAATATAACACAAACGCACACAATATTATAGGTACCTACTTATATTATACTTTATACATTTTAATAAATGCACACATCCACGAGTAGAGTTTCGTCGACGACATACCTACTTATAATAATAATGTGATTATGTTTCTTATCTCGTTCGAGTGTTGTTTTCACAATTCACGGCCGTGTATTAGATAAATGTCTCGGTGATCGGTCTCGAAAAAAAAATTACCATAATTTAAGTTTYATGGAGATTGATAATCGCATTTAATGTTTTGTTATGTATTATTCATCATGGCGTCGTCGATGTTTACGCTGCAATAGTTTTATCATAGTTTATTATCCATCAACAGTAATACATATACTTTTTTATAATACCTACATTGGAGACTTTCGATGTTGTCCCCGTCCCCCGATTTGAATTTCCGATTACGACTAAACTACGATTATTACGGTCGACGGGCAAAGGTCGAGAGTTGTAAAAGAGGTTATGAAAATGCATATTTTTACGAACGCCCGACTTCCCGTCGTCGTCCGACCACACTTATATATCTGCCTACCCGACCTCTTCCCACTTTTCCGTTCGTATCTTCGTATAAACTGCTGGTTACATTATTAGGTTCGCCCTCTACGTATATTATGACGTGTTGGTGCTCCATCGCGTTCTGATTCGTCGTCGAAACGGTTCTAACGACGTTCGTTTTTCGATTGCCTGTTTTTTTTTTTATCTAATTCTTTTAATTTATCCGTAATATGTCACATAAACCTAATAATGTCTTCGATATGATGCAATCACCTCTTTTTTCAAATACCATAGTATATTTAATAGGTACCTATATAGTATACACAAAAATCACCAGTCGTATTCTATAAAAAAAAAAAAATGATTGTCGATAGTTCATAATCACTACGACACTCTCATGATGGGCATGAGCAATTAGCGTTTTATGTATCATATATAATATGTATACCAATTCTTTTTGTGTTTTCGATATCACCTCAATGACTCTCTCACTTCTCTAATAATCTATGACGTACCTACTCGTTGTTATTGTTTACAATAAAAATAATATAGATATTAGATATATATAGATATTTTTTTTATTGGTACTTTACTAAAAGTAATTTTTCTTTAATTATTGATTTTTCGTTATTTTAAAACGACTACAACGTTTAATTATAATTTAAACTCTATAATATGCTTATATATATATATATATGCTTTAATATTATCTTGTAACTATCTTGGAATATATTTTTTTAAGCTTTGTACCTATTATATAAAAGTGTTGTGATTTTATACAGTAGGTATACTGAATATTATTTAAAAAATATCTTGAAATATTTTATGTACCTATGTAAACTAGGTGGTGCCTATGGCACAGAAATACATACATTTAGATATTTAAATTATATTCAAAAAATCTCTTTAGTGGGTAATACTTTATTTCGCTTAGTAGGTATTTGATGGATATCGTACATTATACTTGTTTTTATTTCAACTCTGTAACAAATATATTATGATTTATACAATTATATTGGGTATTCTATGTTTATCTACGAGCATAATTTAAATTTTATTATTGGTTTGATTTTATATAAGTATATAGTTAAAGAATTATCATTGTTTCACCAATTTGAATAACATTGATTTTTCTTTTTAGTTAATGATTTTTAATTACATTTTAAGAATGTTCAGTCTACTTTTTCAATATTACTTACTACATTAATTAATTAATGAAGTATAGAACAATTTCAATTAATTTGTTAATTTGAATGTTTATTGGTCCAATGCGCCCACTTTAATATACCGTAAGAACAACTTTTGTCTGAATCAGACAAGAAATTTATTTTTATAGTGAATTATATGATATTTTCATTAATTTTTATTTGATTTGTTTATTTTGTATTCACTTTCTTTGGTTAAACATTAATATGAGGTTTGATGGCTCCTGATAACTCACTAAATCCTAATGAAGCCCTCCGAAAATATTAATTGGCGACCTTAACATTATATTATAAGTCCCAGTATAATCAATATCAATAAATCTAATTATTATGTATTTAATTTTTATTTATAGTTGGAAAAATGAAGAAGTAGATAACAATTGTGTAGTCAGAGCTAGAGGTCTTCCGTGGCAATCATCTGACCAAGACATAGCCAAGTTCTTTCGTGGTCTTAATATAGCAAAGTATGTAAAGTTTGACATTAAAATCTTAATGTCAGGCTGCATAAACAATGACTAGCAATTGAATTATTCAATAGAAAACTAAAGATTCTTTGAACATGATTTAGTGGCCAATTTTATTGCTACATTACATTTTTGTAAACCATTAATCAATTGTTTTATGCAACTCAGCATTAAGATTTTAAATGATCTGATTTTTACTATATAATGTAATACATTTTATTTTTGCAGAGGCGGTGTAGCATTGTGTTTAAGTGCGCATGGTCGTCGTAACGGTGAAGCAGTAGTACGTTTTGTGAACCAAGAACATAGAGACATGGCTATGAAAAGACATAAGCACCATATTGGTAGCCGTTATATCGAAGTATATAAAGCTAATGGCGAGGACTTCATTAATGTTGCTGGTGGTATGTTAAAAAACTGAAGATGTTTGATATGATAAAATAAGAAATGATTTAATCTTAAATATCTTTTTTATTCTTGTAGGTAACAGTAGTGAAGCCCAAACATTCCTCACCAAGGGTGCTCAAGTGATTGTGCGTATGAGGGGTTTACCTTATGATTGTACAGCCAAAGATGTCGTAAGTTTCAAATACATTAACTGTACTATTAATTTTCATGATCATAATTTTTCATACAAAAATTATTTTAGATTACATTCTTTGAAAATGGTGAGCAGACTTGTTCCGTAATGGATGGAGAAGATGGTGTTTTATTTGTTAAAAAACCTGATGGACGTGCAACTGGTGATGCATTTGTTCTATTTGCTGATGAAGATGATGCTCCTAAAGCACTTAGTAAGCACAGAGACCTAATAGGTACGAGGTACATTGAACTATTTAGGAGTACAACAGCTGAAGTACAACAGGTAATAATGTTTAAAATATCTTAAAATAATTAATAACTTTTTTAATAATTAATAATTTTTACTAGAATGAATATACTTACCTATTGTACCTATGTTATTATTAATTCAAAAATAATCATTTGATGATACATATCACAGTAATTTAAACATGAAATTGTTGATGTTTTTGCTTCTATTTTTTCTAACATAATGATTTTTAAAAAATGTTCTAAGGTTTTAAATCGTGCAATGGATCCATCTGTACGATCAACAGTTAGTGATAGCAATGGCAACATAACTGCCCCAGTTACAACAACAGCTGGTGTGAATAATTCACCTACTGCACTTCTCGGGCATGTGCCGCTTCTGCCACTGCCTCAACACGTCATCACTAGTGGCACACGAAAAGACTGTATACGCTTACGTGGACTTCCATATGAAGCAAATGTAGAACATATACTTGAGTTCCTCGGTGAACATTCAAAAAATATTGTATTCCAAGGTGTACATATGGTTTACAACTCGGTGGTAAGTAACATAGATTAATAATTTATAGAGGTAAAAATGGAAAAATATAACTAAAAAATGGTATGCTTTGCTTCAGACTAAAAATAATAAGTCACTTCGAAACTATTTGACTATTCAGTATTTTTTGTATGCCAATCAGTTTTTTTTTAACGTGTATTATTTAAATTTCGAATACTGTCCCCCCTAGGGTCATGCATCTGGTGAAGCATTCATTCAAATGAACAACGAGGGCAGTGCTGCTCAGGCAGCAATGGCTAAACACCACAATTATATGTCTTTTGGCAAAAAACAACGGTACATCGAAGTGTTCCAGTGTTCTGGTGAAGATATGCATCTGGTGTTGACTGGCGGAGGTGCTGCGTCAGGAGCTTTATCCCCAGTAGCTGCCAAAGCGCTATTATCACCACCTGGTATGTTACCTGCACAGCCTCTAATGACCACCAACCCAGTGGCTAATCCTGGTACCCCAGTCCCTACCCTAATGCCCGCTTGGGATCCAATGTCCGTTTATACCCAGAATTTAGCCCAAACCCTAGCCCTCCAGCGTGCGGCTATGGCAGCTGCCCAACAACAACAACAGCAGCAGCAACAACAGGAATCATGGTTGTATCAATTAGCTCAGCACAATCAATTGATAAATCTTGCTTTACTCACCAAACAGCAGCAAGACATGAATGGTGGTATGGTACAACAGCCTAATATTCAGTCTATATTATCTCCGAATGCAGCTCAACATTTATTGGATAATAGTGCTCAAAATTACATGGCTAAAAGTGCAGCTTCGCCGTATATGTACTTTAATATGCCACGGTTTCCACACAACATGGCAGCTAAGCCTTACGTGCCAGTTTCGGCTGCTGGTGGTCAGTTTGTCATGCAGCCAACGGCCAATTCACCACAGAAACGTTCATGGCAACAAGCATTTCCTGGTGGGCCTGAAAATTCTAATAAACGACAGTTTGCACCGCCGTCTGCTTCTGCTACTGGGCCCATGTTCCCAATGGGTCAAGGCCCTAACGCAGCTGCGGCTGCAGCTGCAGCAGCTGCCATGGCCGCATCATCCCCTTATCTACAACACCCTGCACAGTTTTATACCATTTAGCTTCTTTCCACCACTCTGTTCTCCCTCCCTCCAATGTTAATTTGCTATTGTTAGTTTGGTTATTAGAGCTTATAACCGGGTACATGGTTAGTGGTTAATGGTTACACAAAAATTTGTTTTTATTTTTTTAACATTATCCGTCCTCTGGATTATATATTTTTCCATTATATATACATATATATTATATATATACATATATACAAAATGCACAAAGTGTACTTAAAGCAATTGAGCTTAAATCATTTACAGGGTACTGAATGAATTTTGTAAATTTATTCTTAACTTTTTTTTAAATTACTTTTAATAGATTTTAAGACTAATTTTAAATAACTAATATGTACTTAAATATTGTTTCCAATTAACTCATGGAATTTATTAGATTATGGACCACTGTCTATGCAACTTTATTCAATTCACTAAAATCATTAAGTAATTTTACTAAACATTCCTTAAACTTCAAAAAGATCCCATTTTATATTATTTTTAATTTAATATCTTATTGTTGTTAGGATTATTTGTTATTTATTTATTTTCGTTTTTCATCTGTCTTATAGTTTTATAGGCCCTGTTAACCTATTATTATAGTTATTATTATTATTTATATTATTATTATCATTATTATTATTATTATTATTATTATTATTATTTTAGTTTTTTCCTTGCTTAACTAGGACTAACCTAATGTGTTTAGCTTAAAACCTGTTTTAATCACATCATTTGATAAAATGTTATATCATTAGATTATTACTTAACTTTTTTGTTTTAATTAGTTATTTAGGCACTTTTAGACTTTAGACATTTTTTTAAGTTAAGTAGTTAAAAAATTTAATTTTTTATTTATAACATTAACACCAGTTACGTTTTGTTCAAAAGTCTCAGGCTTTCGCTATTGATAAATTTATTTCTTCTATATTAATATTCTGTTTCATACACATTGTGGGATTGTTTTGCGCTTAGATTTTATTCTATTAAAAGCTTCATGTGGCCCAATCACGTGTATGGTGATTGGAAGGGAAATTATCTATGAAATAGTAAAATCTACAACCATTAATAATAATCTGTCATTGTGGTAAAATGGTTCTGGGGTTAGTACAAGCTTGGTGTTTTTTTTTTTTTGCATGATCATTATTATACCTACTTATATCATTGTTAGCACATTTTGTTGTTGTTCTGTTCAAATATTTTATTAAACCAATACATGTTGTTATCATTACTATGTCAAACGTGCATGCTACATTTGACGTTTACAGCGACGGACTGTGTACAGTTAGAATACTGTTGCAGGTGTAGTACTTCAATTAAAAAAATTTTTTTCAATACTGCCGTTTCATTGATGAACATCAGTTCTGTTTGATATTKTTATTTTATTGAAATCTTTTATGCTTCGGATACAATATATTTTTGAAAATTTTTGAATAATCCTGTTGTTTTATACTTAAATGATACCGGAGTCTTAATTTGTACATTTGAACAGAACAACTGGACCCTGTTCCCTGGATTCAATGACACTGTGTGGACAGAAATAAATTTACTGTAGCGGAACCTTGGGATTTGTGTGCTACTAAATATTATAATAAATGCTGTATCTAGATAGCGAATATGAAATGTGTACAAATCTTTTATTGACCCGTTTTTTTTTTATTTTTATTATTATTTAATATGTTACGCATTAATATTAATAATCATAATAATAGACGAATTATTTTTATATAGTAATATAAAATATATCGAAATAATGCCTAACGGAATTTGGTGTTGAAGTCGTATGTTTTATTCTGCTTTTTATCTTATATATTTGTATACGTTGTTGACACCGGACTGAACCTTTTATACAATTGCAAGGGTGACAAGAAAGATGAATAAAGTTCTATGCAGACTTTAGTTTAACTATATTATGCGGTATTTTAAGTGTGCGTGAAAATTAAAAACAATTCAATTATTTAATGCACATGCCTTTACGTATATACAAAGTGGTGGGTGGTTTATGTGTCATCTGGATTCCAAAAACCTCACCGGTTGACGAGCTGGAAAATATAATAATAATATATTGTGTGCGGGTGTCGGATTTGAATGCGGTTATTTCGTTCTTTGGTGACAATCTTGTTAAATTGATTTCAGTAGAATTAGTTATTAATAATGTAACTTTAATAAATTATAGAATTWAAAAAAACAGCTTTTGAATCTGACACACGTGAGTATTGTGCTTCTCGGACCTTTGGGTGGTGTACATTTTTTTATATATATAATATAATTATAATATACCCCTCTCTCCTCCTATCACAACTGCTGTCAACACGTCATACACTGTACTCGAGCCATTCGGTAAAACAAAATATTATACTAACTAATAATAAATAAAACGAATGGATTGGTGATAGATACCAGAGTACCTATACTCTCCGGACTTCCGACCTGATGCGACACACACACGGACACATACATATTATATAATATATATACATTTATTATACTTAGGTACACCGATGCATGTAGATTAAAAAAATTTAAAAAACGTGGTGGCCAGGCTGGTATTTAGACATATGACATTTTGACATGTTAAGAAAAAAATAAACATAGCATTTGTATAGGGTGTGATGGTGGTGTTTGTGGGACGTTTGACAGCTCTCATAAAATACTATATTGCAACTTATATAATATAGTATATTGGTTGGTGTGAGAGACCTTTGAAATGTTATCATTATTAATATTATTGTACCTATAACAACTATACTGTCTGCAGCTTTCTCCAAGCTCCTCTAACAATATCTGGCTGCAGGTGGTCGACGTTTGTGGTGCCATTATATACGGTGCAGGTGATTGTGCGCAGCGGGTATATCGTGTGGTCATTTTGCATCAGTGGCGCCGATGTTTTATTTCAAGTCGATATCGCAAAAATAAAAATGCTCAGCCCCCATCTTTTTGCAATATTTTTACATAATATTGTATAATATTATTCCGTCTCGCAGATCGGCGCCACTGCGCATGGCCGAACACTATTTACATACCACCGATGGATCGCCAGCCAACGTGTCACAGTCGTGTAGTTATATATAAACCGTAAATTTTAAGAAAAATATAAACTTAACAAAATACTCGCTTATTCTAATATATAATATTATAAAGGTTTCGTATGGTCATCAAGAATGGACGCGAATGGTGTGTGGCGGATCTGCGACTGTATTTGGACGACGGAAAAAAAATCGTTCGCTTGAAATACTGTTTTATTTTTTATTTTTATTTAGACGTACTTTATCATGGCTTATTATTATTTTATTTTTTATTTTTTTCTCATTAAAAATCGTATTAGATTTAACTACGGTGTTCACACATGTTGTTGTTGGTAAATAAATTTAGAGCACGGGGCGTATAAAAGCAAAATTTATATATTGGTTGCTGGTGATTGGTGGTGTTAATCTTTCCGGTGAGTCCGTTAAAACTATATAAATAATTTTTAACATATATTACACATAATACCTATATAATATAGTTTAAATATAATTTTTTTTAACGCTTATTATTCACTTTTCCTTTCGCTTTTTTAATGTCCGAGGATTACTGACTTAATGATATTATGTTTCATCATCATCATCATCCTCCGTAATCTCATTTCCCCTCGCGGCTTATTGTCACAACTTTTGATTTTTTTTTCTTTTATATTATATATATTTTTATACTTTCCAAGCTTTTAAATATTATCATATATACATCCATCCTTACCGCATGCCGGTTCACAATAACCCTTGACTACCTATTTACACAATTTATTATTATAATAATATTAAAATGAACAAAAATTTTTAAAAAATGCGTATTAATAATAATAATATTTACGTTTCGATATTTGTCAAAGTCAACATGTGTTTTTTGCACGCGCAGGCGGACCGCTGATGACTTCTCCGCCGTTCCCGCCACCGACTTCGAACTACTCGCCGTTCTCGGGGCCGCCGCCGCCGCTGATAGGCCACCAGCCGCCGCCGTCGCTGGGCGCGCCGTACCCGCCGCCAATCCTGTACTGGCCGTACCCGTCGCCACCCATATCGCCCCCGCACCAACAGCCCGCACTCCTCATCATGCAGGGCACGCCGCCGCCGATGCCGCCCCCGCCGCCCGTCGACATGTGCAATCTCATACACTCCGTCTCCGAGGTAAATCTACTTAGTTATTATTATTACCTATGTATACTGCTAGGGCTGCGATTTTGATGCAAAGTCATATTTTTTTGGCGTATTCGTGTATAGTGGGTGATCTACGTATACAAATTAAAAAATAACACAATTTAATCACAGTAAACATTTTTAGAATYGTTTAAGAATTTTTAAAAAGTATTTTGAGGACTGACTGATCTCCGCCATTATGCTTCAATCAGACGACCATGTAAAAGTTCCGATGTAGTGTCATCATGCATTTTTCAAACTATTTTCATTTTGATGATTTGGTCCAAATGCATTCTACTGTGTGATGGGGGTTGATTCCTGTTAGCGAGTCGACCACATCTTCAGAATGGTTTTCAGTCAATAGGTGATTTATGTCCGTATAATAAAAGTACAATATAAGAATAGATAATAATAATTGTAGATAACCAACTTCACTTAGTATATTACGATATAGATCAGCTGATACCCCTTAAAAGAGGTAGAATAGATCACCTGCTATACACGAATGTCCTTTTTTCCTGGCGTTTTGAAACGTCGGTCCGTTATGTAATATACCTAAATAAAATGTGTTTTGGGCGATACTGGTGATTATTTTTGTACTTATTTTTGCGTTTTTTTGACAAAATTAACTTTAAATGCATTTTTATAGGGCATTTTCTTAGTTTTTAGAGTATTTTTCACGATTTGTATATAAAATGAACGAAAATTGTTGCGATTAACTAAGAGACTTTGGACAAACTACCCGCGACGATACGAATAATAAGTTATATAGCATGACAAATTACATGCTTATTTTGTAAAATTAATTTTATTACACCATACACACATAAAAAAAACGAAAAAAATACATAACCGTATTATAATTTTTTAATTTTTTCCAATGTTTATTAAGCTATATAATAATTTAAATGCATTATTTAAAGGCATCTTTTCATATTTTTTAGAATATTAAACGTTACATTACTTATTTGTAGATGCTTTGATTTATATCTGATGGTTAAATTATTATAAAAATAGAGGGGGTGATGGGACGATATCATAGTATATATTTTAAACACTTCGGCACCACTGACGAAGGATACCAATAGTACCAGTGTACTGGTTCAACGTGGGTCTCAGGGTCCAACCTTAGGGGGGGGGGCAAGTAGGGGCATCTGATCAATTATCATTATCATTATGTATTTAAATATTTTCAAATTAAAAACATTTTTTATACCGATTTTTATTACACTCAATTATATGAACATAGTTTTTATTGATTTATGGCATATACAATATTGTAGGGTCAAGGAAGTATCAATCAAGTTTTTATTTTTTTGTTGAAAATAATTAATCGATATAGAATATTAATTTCGTAGATAAGTACAATAGTTTCAAATGCGTAGTATCAATAGGTTATAATAAATTGAATTCTTAACAGTATTTGATATTTTTCTTATCAGTGATTGATTATTATATTTATAGTTATTTATTACAGCTATGTTTGTTTTAAGTACAAAATTAATAGGTAAGTTAAGTGTTTCCAAATAGCTTAGTAGTTCTTTCTTATTTTATAGAGACTAGAAAAATTAAATTTTATAAGTAACCAAAAAGTATCAAATCAATGGTTACATTTTATTTACCTACCTAATTAAAATTAATACTGTGAGATTGAGTTCTGTTTACACATAATTAATAATTCAACTTGTACGTTCTCTACCTATATAGAGAAAACACAAACAATTAGGTACTTTATCAGTATAAATAATCAGATACCTAATAAAAACAAAATTAAAATAATTCCCCCCCTGACAAATTCCTGCGCGAACGCCCTTGGACCTGGGGCCCACTATAATATCACTATATCGAGTAAATACTATAAAAAACATAATGTGGGTGCCACTGAATAGTTGGGTACCCATATTATATATAATTGGTGTATATAATATTATGAGTTTTTATATTACGTTCTTATTTTTTAATAATTGAACTAAAAAATATATATTTTAGTTTAAGTACTAATTATTTTTTTGTTCTAATCGTTATTTTCAGTGGAACATCGATTATATGCAACAGAACCCTCAATTTTGCACAATGAACGTAGGTATGTTTGTATAGACTACATATATATTATATATATATTTAGTTGTATACCCGACCTTTCTTCTAACAATAATAATAATACGTATATGATTATAATTATTTATAATAATAACATAATTCGTTACCAATGACCCCTTCCCACGTGCTCCGACAATGACGAGCGATCTTCTTCTTCTGAAGGGTTGTTATATTAAAACTGAACATTTTACAGGTCCGATGGGCATGCACTCGGCTGCGGCTTGACGCGACGCGAAACAATAACGGTCGGCGGCAATCGACATGCAACCGTCACAATAACAACAACAATAACGCTGTGGCCGTCGATGACCGGACGACGTACGGCGTCTACTCGTCTAATTCCAAGTCACAATAACGTATATTGTGCAAAGTACAAACGGCCGCGTACTTAACGTGTTTATAGTATAATGCTTGTATTTATTTATTTAAACTTATATATAATATT